CTCTAGCATGCATAAATAAATAAATCTTTAAAAAAATGTAATATTTCATAGCATTTCCTCTGGGGCTGTCCATACTCATCAGCCACCCTCTTCAGGAGCCACCACCTATAATAATAGTCTTTGGTTTCAGCCACCGGTTACAATATAAGACATAAAAGTGGAAGCAGAAAGACCTGTTTGTGTAAGTGGTTTGACTGGCATTGGTGGGGCAGGGTGAGCATTATTTAGATAAAGGTGGTAAAGGGGTGACATAGGAGGGTATCACCATCTGTGGGGTAAATGGAAGGATCAGGCTTTTATGACACTAGCCTCTGGCTGTCACCTGCAGCCTTGATCGTGTTAATGCAGAAGGTGCTTGGGAGAGTGGGCACAGGGCACGTGTGCCTGATTGTGGACACCTGGAGCATGGGTATGGGCATGCGTAGTTGTGCACACCTGAGCCTGGAGGCCAGGGACATAAGGGCAGCGTCAATCAGACTGCTATGGGAAGATGGGTACGAGAGGACAAGGGGAATGACTATAGAAGAGGCAAGACCATGAAAGGATGCCAGAAAGAACCCAGAAAAGAAAGCATGAAGATTCTCAGGAGGCTGGGATGCTTGCCAGCATCCTGGCATTCCCAGACCCCCTGCCCGCCCTATGTCTGGTTGCCCCACGACACCATCCCAGGGGAGAAAGTAGCATGGACAGTCAGAGATGGGGAGATGCATTTAAGCTCATTAAAAGTTCATGTTCTTCCTGGACATGGAGTATAAGTGGAATGGTGACCATAGGTTGTCTAGAATATCGGACAGTCAAGAGAATGGAGCCAGGATGGCATTTATTGGAGGAAGGGGAATGTTTAAATTCCGGTTTGTTTTTACAGAGAGGTATGATTTGATCATATTTACATATTTCAATGGATTTTTCTCATATTTTTATTGTTTTATATTTTTACATCATTTTTCATTTTTACACAATGTATGCATTTTCATCTTTGCTATAGTCCCCATACAATTCCCACCACACTTCTTTTGATCCTACTCCTTTCTCTCGCAACCCCCCTATAGTGTGTCTCTGGTTTATGGTTGCTTGTTGCTTGTTGATTTTTACTTTATTATAATTAGTCTTTTTTCCTGGTCCCTAATTGAGGTTTTCTAAATTCCTGCTATGAGCGAGACCATCTGGTATTTTTCTTTTTTTTCTGGATGATTTTGCTGAACATGATCCCTTCCAGCTCCATCCATGTTGCTGCAAATTGCATGAGTTTATCTTTTTTCATTGCTGACTAATATTCCACTGTGTGTATGTATCACATCTTTTTGATCCAATCATCTGTTTTTGGACATGTGGGTTGATTCCATAGCTTACCTATTGTAAACAGTGCTACAATAAACAAAGGGGTGCAGGTACCAAGTGGGGAGCAGAACAGGTGGATCTTCTGAAATCTACTGTTGAGGGGGGCAGGGAGGGAGACATGAGAGGTCTGCTGTGCCCTATGTGGGTCAGCTACCTGGCCAAGGATCTTACTCAGGTCCAGGCCACAGCTGTGACGGCGCTGAGACTTAACCCCTAGGCTACCAGAGAGGCTAGTATTTGCATTTTTTTTTTTAAGTTTGCCAACTACTTTTTTTTTTTAAAGATTTATTTATTTATACAAGCAATGGGTACAGTCAGAAGCATCGGAGGGTGAGAGAATTCACCAAAGCCAGAGCGGGGAACAGAACATGCAGACTGATGAAATACACTGCTGAGGGGAGCAGCAGGCACCGCAGGAGAGGTCTGCGAGCCATGTGTGACCCTTGCTGGCGGCCAGGGATCGAACAGGCTCAGCAGAGGCTGCAGGCAGCTTCACAGCCCAGCGCTCAACTGCTGCGCCACCAGGGGAGGCCCTCCTTTTTTCTTTTTAAGATTTATTTATTTATGCATACAAGAACTGGGGTACAGGCCAGAGGTGTGTGTGTGTGGGGGGGTGAGAGTGTTCACCAGAGCCAGAAGAAGCAAAGAGACTGAAATACACTGAGGAGGGGAGCAGCGGGCGAGTCAGGAGAGGTCTGTTGCACTTTGTGTGTAGCTCCCTGGCTGGGGATCGAACTCATGCTGCAGTGGCTGTGGATTGCTTCATAGGTTGCGTCTTAACCCCTTGCGCCACCAGGGAGGCCCAGTATTTCATTTTTAAAGGTAACTTTGTTCATGACTTCCACTTCTGCTCCACTTTATTCTTTCTTCCACATGGCAGCCAGTATTTGCATTTTTAAGGTAACACTGGCTGCCATGTGGAAGAAAGAATAAAGTGGAGCAGAAGTGGAAGTCATGAACCAATAATTTGTAGTAGTTCAAAGGAGGTGTTGGTAGCATGGACAAGGACAGAGGCAGTAGTTACTGGAAAACTGGATAAATTGACAATTTGATGTAATTATGAGGAAGTTGAAGAGTAGGGATTAAGAATGCCTTCAATTTCTGGAAGCTGTGTTTTCATAGATGACTAGAAAAATTGAGAGGCAGATCAAAAGTCAAGTAAAATAGTTCAAGAGGTGGGAGAAAGAGGTTAAAAAATGGAAAAAACTCTAAATAGGAAGTAAAATTTGAGGAAAACTACTTTCATAGTCCAAGTAAGCTTCAAAGACTTAAACAGTTCACCATGGGAAAGAAAAAAATTCTTTGTTTCTGGGGAAGAGAAAAGAGACAGGAGTGGAAGTGGGGGGCCCTGGAAGGGATGACAGTCACTGAGAAACCCCTTAGTGGAACCATTACTTTTGAGAACAGAACTATATTGTGGATGATAATTTTTAGTGTTGATACTGCCTACCCGTGGAGCCAGTTTCATCACCTTCAATTCTGAAACAAATCACTTCAGTAGGGAGGGAATATTTTGTGTTAGTAGGTTTTTTTTGTTTTGTTTTGTTTTGTTTTTACTTTTTTCAATTTTTTTAAATTTTCTTACATTATTCATTTTTGTACAATATTTGACTGCTCCCCTCAGTTGTGTTAGTAGGATTTATGATCAAACAGAAATAGGGCTGAATTCCTTGCCCAGGACTCCTTGTTATGACAGAAATGTGGATGAAGAGAAGACAAGAAAAGAATTCATTTACCCCAAGAATTTGCAGAAATCTTGGAACCTGGATTTTCAGCCAATCTGGTCCTCAAGAGACAGGAAAACCCCTAATTGGCATTAAAATGCATAATCTCTAGGTATCTTTCTCTAAAACTGGCTAATATCAAGGCCATTGACCAGTACTTTTTGCAGAGATATTAGTATTTTATAACCAACTGAACCAGTTTGCTCAGATTTTAACAAGATATTGTTACTGATTTCATTAATCAAGCAAGAATTGCAAACCTAGACGCTTTCCAGGACCAGCAGACACAGCTTTGCCTACCATAAAGCAGAACATTCATTCCACACACAATTATTAAAAATTCAAAGTTAAAATACTTGCAGACCTAAAGTATTACAGAAACTATTTTTTAACTATTATGAAAAATATTAACCTTAACCATTAATTTTTCATCCCGTAATATATCTAGAGATCTATGAATGGAATCAGCGGTTTCTTATAGTTACAAAAACACATCTATTTTTAAATTGAGCTTTCCAAATTTTCCTCTATGAGGATAATTTGGACACAATGGAAATGGGCTTTGGCAAGCCCCCAATACCCAAACAAGCTCAGTAACCTTAGTTAAAACACTTGGCTACTTTAAGTATCACTTTCATCTTCAATGAAAGGGAAATAAAAGGGGGCCTCCCTGATGGCCTAAGGGTTAAGGCTCAGCACTATCACCCCTCCGTGCAAAGTTTGATCCCTGGCCAAGGAGCTGGCCCACAGAGGGCACAGGAGACCACTCCTGTCTTGCTCGCTGCTCCCTTCAGCAGTATACTTCAGTCATCCTCCTGTTCTGCTCCCCACTCTGTCTCTGGTGAATCCTCTCACCTCCCACCTCTGGCCTGTACCCCAGTTCTTCTATGCAAAAAAAAAGGGACATGAAAAGACTATTTCATAGGACCATAGTCAGAAAATAAGATAATATATAGACTTTCAGAGCCCTGGACCTGGTACAAAGTGGGCAGTCAATAAATATTAGCTTTTTTAGGGAAGGCGCCTTATCCAAGTAAAATTCATTCAATTTCTTGCTCAAAACATCAAAGTTGAATACATTTCTAGGCACTGGGAATTGAGCAGTGAGCAAAACAAAATTCTTGCCCACAAGGAATTTAATAATTTTAGTGAAAAGAACATTAAGTAGAATTGTCCATTTTGATAGTTTCCACAAACTGTTAGTGTCTTTGCAAAATGAACTGTGGCACATCTTAAAATTACTCAATTAGTTCAGTCTTGCACAACCCAATTAATAATCTTTCCTAGGCATATGACATTTATTTATCTTCTGTGACATTCAGCGTTAAGATTTTTAGACCATAACATTTCTCTTTTAAAGATCTCAAAGGCCTCCCTGGTGGTGCAAGGGGTTAAGCACCACACTATGAAGCAATCCAAAGCCTCTGCAGCACAAGTTCGATCCCCAGACTGCCAGGGAGCAACCTACATGGTGAAGCAGGCCTCTCCTGTCTTGCCCATTGCTCTCCTCAGCGGTGTGTTTCAGTCAGTCTGCGTGTTCTCTTCCCCACTCTGTCTCTGGTGAATCCTCTCTCCTCCCCGCATCTCTGGCCTGTGCCCTAGCTCTTGTATGCATAAATAAATAAATATTAAAAAAAAAAAAAAACTCAATAAAATAGTTTCATCCCTTGGTTTCTTCCAGGATGATCCTCTGCTAATAGAAATAACAGAATGTTAAAGATACTATAGCTTAAAATGAGCTTAAATTATCACTTCATTCTGTTTTTCAGTTGAGACACTGAAGCCCAGAATATAAGTAACTTTAGCAAAGGCTAACATCTAAAACAGATGCTTCTCCTGGTGTTCACTTCATTAGTGGAGACATGTGCCTGTGGTATCTTAAGTGTCATAATTGGTGAAAAACGGACTGATCTGAACGACTACTGTTTTTGCTAACAGCTGGATGCCAATGGCGAGCTGCTGATCCGCAACGCCCAGCTGAAGCACGCGGGCCGGTACACGTGCACAGCACAGACAATCGTGGACAATTCCTCAGCTTCTGCTGACCTTGTGGTGAGAGGTAAGAATTTCAACACTTTCAAATCACAAAACCAAAGATATCTGACTTGCATAAATATATATGTTTACACATTGATATTCTGGTGCAAATTTCTTATATACTTAGTCTTCATCCTTGAGAACAGCTTTTCATTCATGCTTAAGAATGATTTAGGCCATATAAAGTAAGTAGTTGACAACATTGATTTTGTTTTACTAGCTACATGTCTTCTAGAAACTTACACCATGTACCTCCTACTAATTGTTTATGCTTTTATGCTTAGTATTTGCCAGGAGTATTCTTTTCCTACTAATATTGAGTAGAGCACTATTAGTTTTCATTTTGGAAAAATATACTGGCAGTGTTGGTATAAGCTTAAATGTTTTCTGTTTATCACTATCATCTTAGAATAAAAGTTAATATATACATATTTCTGTTCCCCACTAATGCTTTTGTTCTGAGAAGTAACAGAACTTGAAATGTGCTGTGACACATGCTTGTTGAAAATTCAGCCCCATGGAGCTGTGAGGCCCGCTGCAAACATGCCCCACCTTCTTTGAAATGATCCATTGGCCCTTGACTCACTGCCTACAAAGTCAAGACCATTCCTTTTAGCTTTACACCCAGCAAGTCCTACGCCTTGACCTCAGCCTGTAAACCCCAGCTGTCATCTCATCTTTCTCAGAACCAATCCTCTGTCCAGGTCATCCACAAATAATCCTTAGTATTTCAACCTCTGTTCCTTGTTTTACAGTCTTTCTTGCATATCCCTATTTCACCATTTATTGACCAAATCTTAATCTTTCATGGCTTGGCTCAAGTATTACCAAATTCAGAGTCCTTTCCTGATGTTCCAAATATGAAGGCCTCTCAAACTTTTACAACATTTAGCACTTTCTTGAATGTGTTATTTACCAATTTGTGCACGTAAGTTATCTCCTCTACTAAGTTGTGAAATTCACATATTCATTGTTTTATTCATATTTAGTTTGCTATGGAATTCCATTGCATAGTTTCTTAGCTCTACTTTTCTCTCTCTCAGTGTCAATTTCTCATTTTTTAAAATTTTCATCTGTTGAGTGGGAGAGGATGTCTTGAACAAACTCTACAAACACAGGTTTTATGGACGGCACCGCTACCCCAGACCAAAGAGATCCAAGACACCAATGACTGCAAATCCCATAATGCATCACCACTGAAGGGAGGATTACTGGGAACTGAGGGTGGAGTTAAGCAGCCAGCCTTGGTATATAACCAGACATGTGAGCCTTGGGGCCCCTTAGTTTTTCACCTGCATTTAGTGTGCTTTTGGGGGCCCAGTTCAGAACAGCTGGTAGAACACATTCACCAATTTATCTCTGTCTTTCTTCATTTCCCCTTTTTTGTAAATAAGCCCTTTATTTATCTTTTTGTGTGTGCCAGCAGTTGAGTCTCATTGTAAGTCCCTTTTAAGCACACAGGTGAGGACCAGTCAGGCAACCCCTTTTCACATTGGGGTTGTACTATAACATATCTATACTAAAAATATGTATTGACCATTAATTGCACATTTCGGTCAGTAGACAAAATGAAAAATGTAGTTTATCTTAATGTCCCTTCCAGATCCAGACCAATATAATTTCCCACATCTCATATGCTCCTTCATTTCTCTTTAGAGCAGTGGTGATACGGAACCACTAAGTTACATGATGACAAGGCTTAAATCCTTTTATTCCAGTTGAATGTATTCTCTGATAGAGTAATAAGCAGTCAGGCTGAATTTTCTTCATCCTGATTAGACATTTATTCCACATGACACTTCATAAACTAATAAAGCCCCAAGGTTGCAAAATTAAAGTGGAAGAAATTTCTTTTTGTTTAGTATTTCCATTTAAAATATTTTGTTATCTAGGACATCTGTTGTCTTTGAGAATTATCAGGGATAGTTGGTTCACTGTTCTTTCTAGTTCTACTATAGCTGTTAGGGTATTTCCAGCAACAGCTTATGTACATATTTAACTGGAATTGTTAGCATATTAAAGAAATTTTCATTAATGTTTCAGTAGAGGTTATATTAAACTGCATGAACATCAGTGTCTTCATATAATTACATTGTAGTAAACTCCCTGTGTTCAGAGGAAAGAGAAAGTTCCACAAATGTAATGGAAGAATGTTAATAATACCCACACATAGTTAGGCAATTAAAAATATTCATGCTGTGTATTTTTATGAAGGTAAACACAATAAAAAGAGCTATAGTAGATATGATTTGGAGGTGGTAATGCCTTTTTTTTCTTCTCTAAAACCTTTTGGCCCTGGGAAAAATCCCTTAAAGCAATGTAACTTGGCAAGTACACTTAGTTGACATATGATACAGCATTTTAAGACCCTGTGCTATAAGGCTTATGCTCATAAAACTTACGTGATCATAAAGCACTACAGGTAAATGACCAGTATTGCTAACCACTGCTAAACTCTGCAGAGTCATAATCATTCTCCAAACTTCATTCTTAATAACGTAAAAGGAATTCATTTTAAATCAAGATAAATTTTCCATTGAAAGCCAATTACATTTCTGTGTAACATGTGTCAAATATGTCTATAAAGTACATCTTCAAATGTACTTTGTATAAATCATAGAATATAAAATTAATAGTTTTCTAATTTCTTATAACAACGGTGAATAATAATATTATTATTATTATTATAATACGGCCAATAATAATATTATTTATGGCCCATTTATCTACTTTAATATTTTTCCCATCTAAATCAGAAAATCATAACCTGGAATCCACAGGCAGACTTCAGGCGTTCATAGAACTGAAATTTTATGCTAAATTTCATGTATGTATGTATAGATATTCCTGGGAAGAGGATTCAGTATTTTTATCAGATTTCTAGTCAACGATAGCTCAAAAGTCATTAAAAATGTGATATAGTACTCTTCTTTCTTTTTATCTCATATAGATCAAGAGTCTCTAGAGAGAAACTAAGAATGACTATTCATTTCATGCTCAAGTATTAAAAAAGCTAATAAATTCTGCATGGTAAGATCTCATAGCACATTTAGATTGTGAATTGCTTTCAAAAAACTCAATTTTCACTTAATACTTTAAGAATATATCTGTTTCCCAAAATTTACTAAACATGTTATAAATAATAACATTATACTTCTATAAGAACTTGCCACATTTGAGAGGAAATAATTCTTGTTCATATTCAGATACTAGCGATCTAAACTGCAGATCATGAAATTAATTCAATGGGAGAAATGATGAGCAAAATAGAGAGGGGAATAATTTCTCTGAGGATCACTAAGAAAATTTTTGATAATCTGGTTTAACCCCAAACTTTAATTCTTTGACAGTAGACTGAACCAAAGGTAGAGTTATTCAGGCATAACTTAGACAATCTGGATTTTTTCAGCTTATGTTTCCTTGAGGAAAATGAAAGCTTAGTGAAAATTGTGGTGCTTTTATGTCCTCTGTGTGTGTGAATGTGTGTCTATGTCTATAATCATGTGTGGTAAGGGATAAAAGTGATTTGCGTGAGAAAAAAAGAATATTGTATATTTTACTCTATCATTTTTATTAGGGTAACATTGCTTTAACAATATTGTACATGATTTAGGGGAACAGGTTCACATTTCTCCAGATGTGTTATTACACTACACCACCATGTAAGCATGCACATAAAAACAAATTTCTTGCCTTTGCATTTCATCATTATTTTAAATTGAGTCTATAATGGTGGCAATTAATTTGTAAAATCTGAGTGCTGCTAAATGCAACACAAACTACATTTAGGATAAACATAACCAATGGAAAAATGTAAGACTAGTTCTGATTTTGCAGAGCTTTTTACCCACAGAAAATTTACTTTCTGTATTACCAGCATAATGTATGGTACAATTAAGAAATAAGGAAGAACAGTAGTAACCATTGCCGAAAAGTCTAGGAAAGTCTAGGAAATGGCCCCAGTAATCAGATACCAGCCATTGTCATTATGTAGCAGCCATAAATGCTTACTGATAAAAAGTTTAAGCATTTCAATTTATTTTCCCACTTCATCCAGTTCTGCAAACAGTTTAAAATTGTGTTTCATTTTGATTTCCAATGCTACCTTGTATGTTAGTTCTACCATTTCACTTTGGAGATTTTTCAGCTAGTCTCTCTATACTATAGATTATTTTTGCAAAAGTAACCTTACTTCAAACAGTATTTTTTCTGGAAGTCCAATATACAGAACTCAACATACACTGATATATCAATTCACTTTTCAGAAAAACTATTTAACTAAAAGTATGAAAAACTTTGGATAAATCAATAGACATTCTTCCACACAGCATTGGCAGCAGCCTAAGACTACCCTATCTGATAATAGTGGTCTTCAATCAGCCCTCTCAGGATTTCAACAAATTTAGATAAATCAAATATGAAATTATGCAAAATGTGACAAACCACATAAACAAACCATAATGAAAGAGAAGCAAGAGAGGGCAAACAACTAATTGGAATCCAAAATATTTCAGAAGTATCACCATCAGAATAAATATAAAAATAGGCCCTCTCTGGTGGCACAGAAGTTAAAGTCAACTCTATCAAGCTATTGGCAGCCACTACAGTATGAGTTTGATCCCTGCCCAGGGAGCTGACCCTCAAAGGGCACAGCAAACCTCTCCTGTCTTGTCCACTGCTCCCCTAAGCAGTGTATCTCAGTACATCTGCCTGTTCTGCAACGCAGTCTGTCTCTGGACCTTTAGCTTACCCCCCAGTTCTTGTATGAATGAATGAATGAATGAATGAATGAATAAATCTTTAAAAAAAAATTAGGATAAAAATAACCATGCCAAAATCTTTGAAGAAATGATGGAAATGGATTGGTAACAAGATGATATTAAAATAAGGCAGTTTTTGGGGAAAAAAGACTACCCCTAAATGAAATACACAGGCATTGAGAGTAAAAGGATAGCCTAAGCAATAATTAAAGATAGATTAGTTAAGGATTAGAGACTTAGAATCTAGAAATGAGAAAATTAC